TTACAATTTTTTTGATAGCTATGTATACTATACTGGGCAAAAAGAACTGCTAAAATCAGGCCTTTGGGAGTGTGGTAAGGTATGAGATGATGGAAAAATTCTCCAGTTCTATGATGAGGTCTCAGTCTTTTAATGAGTCTATGCTTTTGTGTGCTTCCCCCATCTCCTTGCATGGGAGAGGATGACTAGAGAAAGCTGGAAGTAGATATTCTTCTTCTTTCATTTCAGTTAGATAAGTGCTCATCAGGTTAGTCTCTGGTTAAACAGTTTCTGAGGGTGAATTTAGTTTAAAAGAACAAGCTTTACTGGAGTGTTTCAAATATGTTCTTACCCCTCCCTTCTGGAAGCTCTCAAACTAGATGAGATCTTTCTTCAGTAAACACTGAGGATCTCTTCCAACTCCTGGAGATAAAACTTGCAAAAGTGTGGAGGAACCTCCATCCCATGACTGGATCACTCTAGGGATTCTCTCTGTCTGTCTGTCTGTCTGTCTGTCTGTCTGTCTGTCTCTCTCTCTCTCTCTCTCTCTCTCTCTCTCTCGACCACCTGGACAGCTCTCCTAGAATAGAGAACGGTTACCTCCACTTTGGCTAAACCTGGCCCTATCTCCATGTACTGTTATGTTCAAAGTTGGCTAAGATATTTCCTTTGGCTTTAAGCAATGTAAGTAGTGCTAGCTGAGGTACTGATGCATAATCTTTGAAGCTAGGTGACAGTGGGACAGTTACTGTTTCCCTGCCCTGTAACTCCCTAGACACGGTTGAGCCTGGCAGGATGCACAGTCACCACTTTGGGGTTGTCAACTGGGTTTGAGCCTCAAAATAAGACAATCTGATTCCCCAGGGTAGAAAAGTTTGCACATCAAGCTGCCTGAATACTAAAGGCTACCTCAGTTGTGTTATGCAGATTAGTTTTTCTGCATATCCTTCTCCCTGTGTGTTGCAGAGGTGATTTCAGACCTTTTATCATAGTCCAGCTCACAGTACTCATGTATTTCCTCATTCTCACAGTCACTTATCCTCAAGTCATTCCCTTCTTCATGAATTAATAAAATCCACGTTAGGCCTGGGTTGAGGCCTTGTTTGGATGAGGCTTCATCCTGGCTGGACTTAAGACCCCTTGGCTGCCCATAATTATAAATATGTCTTAGTTAGTATCTTTATTCTCACCATGGGTTGCACAGGAACTCATTGGAATTCCAATAATGTTTCCATAGGATTATAAATTTAAACTTTGGTTTATTTTTGTCATGTTACTGTTCTTCTGTTGGTTTTTTACCTTTCCCCTCTGTTTAATTGTTTGCCTTGCTTAGTGGCTTTTTCCTGTTGGTGTTCTTGAAGTTGTAATTATTTTTGTGTCTGTCTAGAATATCTTTCAGTATTCTTTGCAGGGTTGGCTTGGTGGTCATGAAGTTCTTCAGCTGTTCTTTGTCATGGAAGTATCTTATTTCTCCATCAATTTTGAAGGACAGTTTTGCAGGGTACAGCAATCGTTTTCCTTTAGGATCTTAAATACTTCACTTCATGATTTTCTTGACTTGTGTTGAGAAGTCTGCTATTTCCTTTATAAGTGATCTATCTCTTCTCTCTAACAGCTTTTAATAGTCTGTTCTTATGTTGAATTTCTGGGATGTTGATTATTATATGTCTTTGTGTAGATTTATTTTGGTTATGGCTATTTAGAGTTCTATATGCTTCACTTATCTCTGTGTCAGTTTCCATTCCCATGTTTGGGAAATTTTCAGCTATTACTTCTGTAAGTAATCTTTGCTACCACTTGTGTTGTCACCTTCTTTTTCATTTACACCTATTAATCTTATATTATTTTTCTTTGCATCATGTTGCAACTGTTGAATTGTTATTTCCTAATTCCTTGTCATTTTTAAAAAACCTTTCCTTTTTGGTTCATTAGCTGCAATTTTATCTTTGAGGTCTAAAAGTCTGTCTTCAGTTTCACTGAGGCAGTTTTATTAACTTTTGATGGAATGTTTGATTTCCTGTATATCTCGTTGAAACTGTTTCATACATTCTGTTTGTTTCTTATATTGTTCATTCAAGATTTCCATATTTTTGGAAATATGGAAATTTTTAAAAATTTTTCCAAATTTTTTAAACTATGTCTTCTTTAGACTTGTTCAGCATTTCTTTTATTACATTTATCATTTCTTCTTTTACCTGGGAGATTATTTCTGATATGAATTCCTTTATAGCCTCTTGGAATTGTTTCTTTAATTCAGCTGCTATCATTTCAGGAGTTTCAGGTCTATGGCTTACATTTCCTTCTATATCCATGTCTCCTCAGCTTGTTTGGGATGGGCTGCAGGTTTGAGATTGCATTTTGCTCTTTCGTTTTGTCATTTTCCTGTATCCCCCTGGGGAAGCTGAATGCAAGGTCTCACTTGTTTCTTGGGCTGAAAATAACTGTCTGTACTGCAGAGAGTTTCCCCAGCTGAGTGGAGGACATTAGTCAAGCCTTACCCAGTCCCTAGTGATGCATGTAGGCTCCTCAAATGTGGGGCATACATTTGATGGGCCTTGAATACACCCCATGTGGCACTCTGAAGCTCCCTGGGTGCTTAAGGTTGCTAGGCAGGACCCTACTAGGTTCTGAGTAGAGTACCAAGGCTGAACAGCTAGATGAAGTATACTGTGCAGGCCTTCAGCTCATGCTTCATGGGACACCAAAGCTCCACAGGTGCTTGGGGTCAGGGTGGGGCCCTATCAGGCTCCTCCAGTGATTGAAGGTGCTGAATGGGGCCCTACCAGATTCCGAGCAATGTGCTGAGCCTGCACAGCTGGATGGAGATTGCTACACAGGCTTTATGCTTGCAACATGGAGCACAGGTAGCTCCTGGCTACTTCTAAAAGTTAATAGTCTTTAGATAGTTAATTCTACTCTATGACTGTTGAATACTTCTTTTATATTAAAGTAGGTATAGTTATTGCATTTAGTAGTCATTTGCCTTATGTCAATACTTAGTTTTCTTAGTATTTATGTTATAATTATAGATCTCTTTTCTAAGGTTAAGGACAGTACATTATTATCCAGGTGTGGTAGCACATTCCTGTAATCCCAGCACTTGGCAGCCTGAGGCAGGAAAATCATTGCAAATTCATGACCAACCTGAGCTAGAAAGTGATACAAAGTGAGTTCAAAGCCAGCTCAACTGCTTAGTGGGATCTTACCTTGAAAACACACACAGACTGCCTTAGTTACTTTTTACTCATTGCTGGGACAAAATACCTGAAGCCCAAAGTTGGGAAAGGAAAGGTTTATTTCTTACAGTTTTTGGAGGTTTCAGTCCACACTCAGTTGGCTCCAAGACAGGTGGGCATGGCTGGACCACCGTTCATGGCAGCTGCAAACGGCAAGCTCAAACCAACAAAGAGAAAGACACACCTTCTTCCTTCCATTACATCACATCCTGGCTCCACCCTATGTGGGTGGAGCACTGACACAATCAACCCAAGCACTAGACAATGAACGAATAACAAATGCACAATTCAAACTCTTGAGGGCTGGGGGACACAGACATAAACCATGACACAGACACAGACACAGACACAGACACACACACACACACAAAATGGTACATTATTGGTTCTTAGGGTATGTGATTGTTAGTTTGTCTTTGACACTTATTATTTCTGATTTTATTGCTAGTTACTCCTACTAATTGTTTTATTCCAGATGTCAATATCTGGATTGCCTTTTTGTAACAATAATACTGTGGTCCATTCCCAAAACATGGGTGCTGGGTCCTGGGTACTGGGCCAATTACACTTCAGCATCCCCTCCAAATAAACAGAGACAATTGGGTGTTGGAACAGATGGAAAAGCCTATTGTTAGTCATGCCCAGAGTGCATCACTGAAATGCAGACACTAAAGACTCTCTACTAGTAACAAAAATCTTTCCACTGTCATCAACTCACAAACCTTAGCACAAACACACTGAAAATCAATAGAAGCTTGAGAAGACAAGGCATCAGCATGCGTCCAAAAAATTCCAGCTCTCCATGGGGCAAGAAATTAAAAGTCACAAAGCAGAGTTATTTGAAATAATAAAAAGAGGAAATAAAATATCAATAAAATGCTCAGCAATCTCAAAGAATACGCTGTATAACTAAACAGATGATGAACTTATTAAACAACATGATCAACAAATTTAGGTAAGACACTAATAACATGTAGTTGAGCTCACTGAAATCATATAAAACATGAATGATCACTTTAGCAAAGAATTAGCATGCATCAAAGGGCACCAGATAAAAATCCAACAGATTAGAAATTCCACTCAAAATGTAGACAGCAGAAGTGACAAACATAAAGGCAGAATAACAGACTAGAAGATAGGGCTCATGTCAGTGATCACTTACTCAGAAATACCTTAAAAACAACAAGCAATAGCTTTTAAAAAATAGAATAAAAAATGGGTTCAATAAGTGCTAGATGATGCAAAGAAGACTAATCCAAGATTAATTGAAATTAGTGAAATTTATCACCACTAATCAGACATAAATGTCATAAAAATTGTTTACATAACTAGTTTCAGAAGAATTTCTGAATATGAAGATAGAATTTAGCATATAGATAGGTGAAGCATGTAGAACCCCAAGTAGCCACAATTAGAAGAGAATCTGTCCACAATATATTATAGTCAAACTCCCATAAGTTCAACACAAGGGCAGAACCTTAAAAGCTGTCAGAAAAAGCAAAAAATTGCTCATAAAAGTAAACCCATTATACTTACAGCAGACTTCCCCAAAATAGTCTTAAAGCTCAGAAGATATTGGTCTTAAAGATAAATACTCTTAAAGCTCAGAAGTGTTTTGAGTCCCAAAAGCAATTTGCAACCCAGATGGATATATCCTGTAAAACTGTATATCAAATTTGATGGAGAAATAGGACTTTTCTATGACAAAGAATACTTTTAAGAAATTTATGACCACTAAATTAACACTCCAAAAAATCCCCAAGGATACTCTAGAGACAATAAAGCTAATAATGCCAAAAGGTTTAATAGAATGAATAAAATTGGGAAAAAATAAACAGTTATGCAAAAGTGGGGGAAAAACAGGAAAATAATCCCAGTGTGGTGGATTGACAACTAGTCTTCAACTTGTAATACCAGCTGAAATGAGTCAGCATGGTGCTGGGTGTGGATGGCCCACCTGAGGATAGTTGCCAATATAAAAAGGAGAACTAGAGAGGAAGAAGTAGTGTTGTTGGTTCTCTTGTTGCTATTGGTTCTCCTGGAGGAGTTTGTTGAGCTTGTTTCCTGATATCGACTTGGCCATTCTCACTGTCAGAGGGGCTTGGGACCTGGTTGTTCCTGAGAATGGCTGCGGCTCACTTTAGGGGAGCTCTGGTCCTAACTTTGAGCATCACTTCCTGGTTCCAGAGGGGAAGATGCTGTGTTGTTCATCTCCTGGAAAAGTTCATCATGCTTCCTGATATGAACTTAGCTGTTCTCGTCATTGGAGTAGCTCAGGAACTCATTGTCACTGAGGATAGCTGTGGTACTTTTGTGGGGATCTCTAGTCCTTACTTTGAGTGTAGCTTTCTGGCTCCATTGCAGATCCTTTAGCCTGCTGGCACAGATTCTTCAGCTTCCTGGCACAGATCTGTAGAAAAGACTTACATGAGACATTGTCATGGGCTCTAGGCTTCCAGCTGGACTCACAGGGAACATTGTCATGGGTTCTAGGTCTTCAGCTGGACTCATGCAGGATGTTGCCATGGGATCTAGACCCTCAGTTGGATTCTTTGGGGTCTTGGTGTGGACAGATTTCTGCACGTTTTGTATTTGACTCTTTGAGTAACCATTATAAAGTAATTCTATAAATTATGTATCTTGTATTAAATTTCTTCCCTTATAAACCCTGACAACAACACCCAATGACAAGAATAAGTCAACTTTCAATAATAACTTTCACTGTGAATGATATTGATTCTCTAACTAAAAAAATACAGATTGGGAGACTGAACCAAGAAACAAAATGCAACAGTACTCTGTATAAAAGGAACACATGTAATCAAAAAAGAAATTCATGGACTGAAAACCAAAGGATGAAAAAACAATATTCTATGCAATAGGAACCTTAAAGCAAACAAGAATAGCTATCTTATTTGAGATAAGTGGACTTCAATCCAAAACTGATCAGCAAAGGCAAATACAGGTCAGATGTGGTGCCACACTTAGAAGGCTGAGGGCTGAGGCTGGAGAATTACAGTGCGTTCAAGACCACATGCATAGTTACACTCTTTCTCTCTCAAAGAGGCAAAGACAGTTACTACATATTGGTTAAGAAAACAATTCAACAGGAAGAGGCTACAATTATAAATATATGCACCACCAATACTAGCATACTCAGCTTCATGAAATAAACACTGCTGGTCATAAAAGATCAGATAACATAAACATAACTATAGTGGAGAACACCAATACAGTACTGTCATGAATGCATCAACTAGACAAAAATTGAAAAAGAAATATCAGTTGAACCACACATTGAACAAATGTATTTAATAGATATCTACTGAGTAGTCCAATTAAGAAAAATAAAATACACACTCTTGTCAACAGCATATTAAACTCTCTCCAAAATAGAACACACAATGGCTGATAAAGCATTCTTAAATAAATGTAGAAGAATGAAAATTATCTCTTGTATATTATCAGATCACAAATGCAATGAAACTAGAAATAGAATCTGGGAGCTGAGGCCACTTAAGGTGAGTTCCAGTGCATGGTGCTGGCCCAGGGAGAGTTTAAGACCATTGCTCCCAGTAGTTAAGTGCCCACTCCGCTTCTGGACACACTGGACTAGGCTCAGGAGGTTTCAAGGGCCTGATTGCATCATGCCCAGCAACCTTCTTTCAATCCAGGGAGCTGAGGCCACATGACGTGTGTTCCAGCACATTGGTGCTAGCCTGGGGAGAGTTTAAGATCATCACTCCCAGTGGTTAAATGCCTGCCCAGCTTCCTGAAACATTGGACTAGGCTTGGGAGGTCTAGCTGACCTGACTAGATGATGTCCAGTGAACTTCGTTCAATCCAGGGAGCTAAGGGTATGTGAAGTGAGTTCCAGTGCATCGGCACTAGCTCAGGGAGAGCTTTGGACCATCACTCCCAGTGGTTAGGAGCCCACCCAGCTTCCTGGAACACTAATGGTGACACAGGAGGTCCTGTGGGCCTGACTGGGCCACACTCAACAACCTCCCATTCATTCCCAGGAGCAGAGGGTGTAGCAGGTGATTTCCAACATGCCCAGGGAAGTTTTGAAAATTGCTCAAAACATGGAAATATAGGAAAATGGCAAGACAAAAAACAAAAATGCAATCTCAAACCTCCAGCCCATCCCAAGAAAGCCTAGGAGCCATGTACATAGAAGAAAATACAAGCCATACACCTGAAATGATAGCAACTGAAATAAAGAAGCAACTCTAGGAAGCTATCAAGGAACTCAAATTAGAAATAATCTCCCAGGTAAAAAAAAGAAATGATAAAAGTAACGAAAGAAATGCTGAACACATGTAAAGAAGACACAATTAAAAACTTAGAGGAATAATGCAAAAAGATAGAATCCCTGGATGAACAATATAAGAAACAAACAGAATACATGAAACAAATCTAAGAGATATACAAGAAATAAAAAAATCCATTGAAAGTTGTCAAAACCACCTCAACGAAAATGAAGATAGAATTTCAGACCTCAAAGACAAGATTGCAGCTAGTGAATAGGAAAGGAAAGATCTTTTAAAAGTAACAAGGAATCAGGAAATAATAATTCAACAGCTGTAAGATGATGCAAAGAAAAACAACATAAGGTTGATAGGGATAAATGAAAAAGAAGGGGACAACACAAATGATACCAAGAGATTCAACTATTTAAAGAAGTAATAGCTGAAAATTTTCCAAACATGAGAATGGAAACTGACATACAAATTAGTGAAGCATATAGAACTCCAAATATCCATAACCAAAATAAAAATACACCCCGACATATAATAACACCATCCCAGAAATCCTACATAAGAACAGAATATTAAAAGCTGTTAGAGATGGACAAGTGGGGAGGAGGAGCCAAGATGGTGGATAGATAACAATTGGATACAGAAGCTCCCTGAGATAGTCAACTTAGAATTCAACATAATACAGAGTGAGGAGCCCCAAACAGAGGGAGATGAATTCTCTGGTCCCAAGAAGAAATTAAGGTGACTTGCCAATCATCTGAGGTCCTGCTGCAACTGGCCGAGGTCCCTCCATGACTTGCTGAGGTCCTGCCGTGACTGGCTGGAGTCCCACTGTGACTTGCCAGGGTCCTGCCACGACTTGCTGAGCCATCCAAGATCCTGCCGCTTTGACTCGCTGGAGGTGCAGTTACATTGAGTTCAGGGGTCAGTGAGCAGAATAAGGGCTGAGTTGGCAGGGTGCCTACATCAACCTGTGGTGAGTGATGGGAGTGGAGCCATTCCATAAATACGTGGGCTCTTGCACATGACATTCTGGGACCGGGCAGGACTGGCAAGTACAAAGGGCAGCAGTGACTTGCCACTGTCAATTGTTCCCTTCCCAAACTGGATTGGTGGAGTGCGCTAGACCTCCTTGTTATTTGGGTAACATGACTCAGCTGAGACCCAATAGGTTATCCGAGGACAAGACCCTGCAGTGGTGGCACACACTAACCACACTGGCCCAGTAGGGCCTCGGAGGTTTTGCTGGTCTGGAGGGGAGGCAGTGCAAAGTAATACAGTAGTGCAGGCCACATCAGCTTGACTGATCCAGAGGGGAGGGGCCAGCATATGATGTCCCTGTCTGCAACTCACTAGCACACTGCAGTGTGAAGGGTCATCTAGCCAGCACACTTCAGAAGAAGTGTAACCAACAAAGAAACTGGGGAATCCTAGAAGAAGCAAAAAAGATGGGAAGAGGAAGCAATAACAAAAAGTCCCCAGGCCCCAACCCTGAGAACATTGACCCAGGACAGGTAAATACAAAGGAGAATGAGAACAGCAAACATTCAGTATCAGACACAGCACAGACATAAAGAGATATTTTTGGGACCTCATAGACGAGAGTTCAAAAGTGAAATATTTAGCCAAATACAGCAAGATATAAGAAGATTAATAAAAGAGAGACTAAGCACCCTCAAGCAGACACAGATGGAAGAAGGGAGGAACTCAAACAAAGGAGAGAACCATTTGATGAAGAATATAAAAAAATATGGAATACATGATGCAGACTCAAAGAGATCACCAGGAAATTAAAAACTCTATGGAAAGATGGCAAATCAGCTTGAAAGAAACTAAGGATAGATTATCCAAACTGGAGAACAATTTTTCAGTGTGGGAGTATGAAAGGGAAAACTTTTTAAAAATAACAAGGAAACAAGCAGTAACAATACAAAGACTAGAAGATGAAAAACGGATCTATAAGTTGAGAATACAGAATGTAAATGAAGAAGCTGGGATACAAACAAAGGAACTACAAAATTTATTCACAGAAATATTTAAGGGAAACTTCCCAAACATAGGAAAAGGAAATGATATTCTGATATATGAGGCATATAGAACTTCAGCCACCTACATCCAAAACAGAGCTACACCCAGGCATATAATAATCAAGATCCCAGAAATTCAATATAAGAACAGAATATTAAAAGCTATTAGAGACAAGAAACAGCTAACCTACAGAGTAAGGCCCATCAGAATAACAGCAGACTTCTCAACACAAACCATGAAGTTAAGAAGAACCTGGAGCAAAATATTCCAAGCCCTGAAAGAAAATAACCTCTTTCCCAGATTGATTTACCCTGCTAAACTGTCTCTAGAAATTAATGGAGAAACAAGATGCTTCCAAGACAAAGAGGAACTTGGGAAATTTGCAACCACCAATCCAACTCTACAGAGAATACTCCAGGGTATTCTAGAGAGAGAGAAAAGTACTAGGATTCCAGAAACAGTGGAAGAGAGGCCTCAATGAATGGAGCAGAAAACAGAATGAAGAAGATAAGCAGACAACTGATGGCAAAAAAGAGCATAACAGAAATGAGGCAGAGAAGATTTTATTCAAAACTGATAAGATTGATAGTATCAAGTCAGAGTATAGGCAACTACACTGAACATGACAGGACTCTACAATACACATTCTGGTTTGATAACTGCCAGTTTTTGAAGTTCTATGCTATATACAAAGTTGTGTTTTTATTAATATTGTTATGTACTGACATATTCAATTATACTATGTCTGATGATATAGCCAATTCTATTGGAGATAACAAGAGGCAACACAGGAACCATGGTAGAACGATTTGTACAATGGTCTTCTATGTATATTTCATTTCATGTGTTTATAGGAATATGTTTGTTTTGTCTTGCTTTGTTTTCTTTCTCCCTCTAATACAGAAAGGATAGAAATACATATTAAGACTCATGCATGTGTAGAATCTATAAACAGTTTATGAGAACTGATCATATGACACATGATGAAATGAACAGATACTTTGAAGAAAAAGAGACACTAAAATATCCAGTGCTAATCCTGGAGTGTCATAATGTGAAACCCAGCAATAGTATTCTTTGTTCAGAGTGATATTAGCCTGCTTGGGTTTATTCAATCTCA